AAGGAGTAAAGGCTTCTGAGCATCATGCAATAAGGAATACTAAGTAATAGGATTTGTTTTGTTGATACCTGATAAAATGTGTCATGATTGCATATTCACTTAATATTGTTAGTTATGAATTTTTGCATTTATTTATCCTCTAAAGATCTTTTGTAAATTGATTTCTGAAACATGTAATATGTATGCATTCTGTACTTATTAAAAATTCAAAAATAGTAATAACATGGACTTTGCATTGCATACCAAATGTATTCCATCCCAGTTTGAGGTCTTCCAGCCACATTTACTTAACTGTGTATCAGATAAAGGAGGCGTCTGATTGGGTCTTGTGATTTAATTTCATATAATGTACATCTTCAATCATTTAGACATCTCTAAAAATATTTAGTGTGTGTGTGGGAGGGGTAGCATTTAGGAACTAGAGGAACAATGTGTGTTGCATCAGTGCTATACTGCACCTTAGTTGAATCATCCCTTCCTTAAAACCCTTCTGTGGGGCAATATCTACTTGTCTACGGATGAGGCTTTGGGTCTCCACTCCAAACCCCCTCGTTCACATCAATATAGTTGTTTGTTTGGGATTTTGATACCTGTTACCTGATCTCATCAACACCTCATAATCACACAGGCTGGTGTGCTTCTTCCATGTGGGCTTATTTGCTTCAGTGCTGGATGGCTGCTTGTTTAACTTCAAGCCTTTAAGACTCAAGATGCTAAATCTTTTGATAACCGGGCACCATTAGCTTTCTTTACCACATTTGCTTATACACCCGCTTTGTCTTCAGCAATCGTGCCAGAAAGGTGAGCATCATGGAATGCCAGTTTAATAGAATGAAGTATTCTTGCATTGAGGGGATACTTGAGTGGAGGCCCAATGTCCATCTACTACCTTAATACTAAGCCTATAAATATATGCACATAAATCTATTTATCTATGCTCATATATAAATATATTTACATATGTACATGCCCCCATTTAGACCTTTATAAATGTCCTTTGCCTCCTAGCTGTTTCCTCCATTTCCTTTTACTTTCCTCTTGTCCCACTAACATGCTCAGCCTTCATTTGGGTTACAGTAATTCCTCTCAGTTACGTTACCCTTGATCATGCCCACCAGGCTTCCTACATCCTCCTCACCACTGATTTATATCACTTGTTGTTCCCTTGTCCCTGGGTTTGTTAACACCACTTCCTTTCCCCCCACCTTCTCCTCTCCCATTTCCTTCCAGAACTATAAGTCCCGTTGTTTTCTCCTCCAGATTGTTCACCATTGGATGGTCTTCAAATGGTGTTTCACTGCCACCCTGAGACAGATAAGTGTTCTGCAGAGAACCCTCCCTCAGACCCACAACAGTCTTTCAGCTAGTAAATGCTTTCACACAATTTTTGGGTTTAAAGTAAACTGGCACCCATGCTTGTCAGTCCTAAGATTTCTTTTTCTAAACATCCAGTGACACTAACCCACACTTCCAAGGGCACTGCTACCTCACTGCTTTGCCCCAGCCTTACTTAAACTGTTCACCTGTTTTGTTTCTTCCAAAAGTCATCATGTTACCAATGACCCTAAACCAAGTGTGCCAACCCCAGGATCACCAGCTCCTGGATCACCTCAACCTCACTCACCATGGGCCCCTAAGTGCACAACCCCTCCCAACAGAGTATGAAAAGTGCATGTCCCAAAGCCCCACATGGTATCCCTTTTGTCAGCAGGAAGTAGTGAGAGACAATATCGCCTAGTATCCCAAAGATTTGGGTCCATACTCCTTCAGTGGGGAAATGTTAGGTATCTAGAGTCATGGACAAGGGGGTGGGGGTGTTGTCCCTCCCATGCCTACATAGGCCCCTAAAGGAGAGTGGAAGGAAATCAGGTGACCATTAGACACCTATGAAGATGCTTATGTAAAGTTGCACTAGGATTCTTTAGTTGGGAATCCAGGGTCTACAAAACTCAGTAAGGTTTAGAAATGCTCATCTCTATTTCTGTATTTCAGGCTCAAGTAGCTCCACTGTTGCCCTTACTCATTCTAAGGAGAGCCCTTTCTTTCTTTCAAGAAGACTAGTCCTAGATATGTAACCTCCTGTTGCACTAGTTGGGCTGTGGCCCTACTGACTCTGTAGCCTCTTTCTAGCAAGAAGTTTAGACCTTGTACTGTATGAGAGGTAGACTGTTCCCCAGGGGCAGAGCAGATGAGGAAGTGGTCTTTGTATTGTAGGACTGTGCCCCCCTATAGAGTAAGACCAGTTAGCTCCTGGCTCAGGGCTTGTCCAAACAGATGGTGGCTATCTTGGAAGCTCATTGGCATCGCAGTCCAGGGCAGTTGGTGTCACAGCCCCTGTTCTAATTTCCACTCAAAAGCAAAAAGGAGCTAGTTCTGTGGGTTCAGTGAAATGCAGAAAAAGGCATCCTTTAAATCCAGAATGCTGTACCACCACTGTGTGGCGCTAGGAATTTCCCCTAGGAGTATATAGGAGTTAGGTACTACTGGGGGCAGTGGGATCACTGCTTCATTTATTATCCTAAGGTTTTGAGCCAATCGGTAAGACCCATCTTTCTTTTTGACTGGTAATATTGGGGTATTATGTGGGGAATTAACAGGGACCAAAATTTTATGCTGGAGGAATTTATTTAAAAGGTGGCTGGACTTTCAGGGACTACTAGGAAGCTATGAGAGAAGCAAAAGTCCCAGAGGGACCTTAAGGGTTCCACAAAGTGTTTGACAGTGCAAGTGCATGGTGCCAGGGATCTGGGGAAGGAGTAGGCGGAGTATGAGTAGTATCTAGGAGGAAACTTACTGACCGACTTGCCATATCTATGCTCACCCGAGGCTCCAGACCAGTAACAACTATTTCCTGCTACTTGGTCTATGGGACAGCTTTTATTTCTCTCATAGCTTCCTGATAGTCCCTGAATGTGCGGCCCTCACCTGGGTCAAGATGGATTGTCTACACTACACACCCACATCATCATAGGACCTCATCGTAGCCCCACTGTAGCTTTCCAAATGGTCTTGACCACAGAGGAGCTGAGAAGTCCCCACAGAAGCAGTGGGAAAGTGTCACCAACCCTCAAGTCTGGGACATGGGAGTCCCGGCAGAGGGAACTAAGTAACCTTTGTAAATATTTTCCTAAAAGACCCTAGCCTTTCCCTGCCAGTGGAAGTACCCTTTGAAACCTGAAGCCATCCAAGGATTACAATTCCTCCAGTAGGGTTAGCAGTTACTCCGTGGCCTGGCTTTCAAATACCTTTTGCCAAAGCTTGGCCAAAGGAAAACCAACCACTAGGAGAACCGAAACAACACACGAGCAGAAAACCAAAGCCATCACCAAGCAGGACCAAGCTACCTGCTGGTAAACAGGAGAAAACAGTGGGGCGGCATCCATGGGAAAACCCAAGTCAACCCCATGGGAACTGGGCGGGGCTGGCCACTAAGTACCCCCACTCCCCCCCAATTGTTGGAGCACTGGAAGCATCTTGCTGGGCTCGGTGGAAGACCACATGCTCAGTTGCCTGGCGGTGGACACCGGGAGCCTCCATCTTGGTGGGTCAGAAGGCCACGTGCTTGGTTGCCCCATAACAAAAATGGCAGTGGACACTGGCAGGCCTTATCTTGCACTTAGCAGCCCAATGTGTAACCACTATGTCACCAGAGCTCCGTTGGGAGGCCCTATCTTGATGAGGTCAGCGGAGTCACATCTTCGGCCACCCTGCAAGAAAATGGCACCTTCAGCGTGCAGACGAGGCAGGGAGGGCTCGGAGGGCAGCAAGCATGGGGAGCCAGAATCCTGGAGAGAACTATGGGTTTCTGTGTGGGCGCGGCAGTTTTCCTGGCAGGAATATGGAGCGAAGCACTGAATAGCAAAAAGGGCTTTGGGGACCGGAGTTCCCCCAAACTACAGTCGTCTGACCCATCACAGGAAGCGAGGCTGAGGGAAGGTTGGAGGCCAGGATGGCACTGAAAGCAGATAGGCACACACGCAGGGAGGGGGAAAGGGGCTCCCTGCCATACGTTACACGTGGGCCCAGGTGGGCTCTCAGATGACAACAGTTCCCAAGGGCAGCATGGAATCCTGGGGACATCCGCGGCCGTGCCTTATTGTTATAGTTCAAAGGTTTTCAACCAAGTCACACAGCACCACAACTTAACGTTTCCTGAGTGGGCAATATCTGGGTTCTTGGCTTCGCACACTGAAGAAATTCACGCCAAAGCCCATTTTGTAATCCAGGTGGGTTTTCATGAAGGGCAAGACAAGTCTCAGGTTTGATAGTCAAAAAGAGTACACGCTATTTCATGGAAGCCACCCAGAAGTTCACAACTGGGCATGAACAGCCACGTGGAAAGGAACACCCCCACATGTGGCATGAGCGGGGACCAGAGAGCAAGAGGGGCTAGAGAGAGACTGTGGGCCCCAAGTAGGCCCGGAGTGGCCATTGTGGGCCCCTAGCAGGCCCTGAGGGGGCACGTCCGTTGGTAGCATGTGGGTACCTCCACCCTACGACCTGCAGGGTAAAGAGAGAGACCGCCTTCCCACAGCCAGGATATTGCAAGTCTCTGGCTGGAAAGCCGTGGTTGATGGTATTGGTTGACCCCCATTGGCTGGGTTGAGCCCTCCTGGGTGATGCCATGAGCCTGGGCCTAGTTTGGACTGCACAGGTGTACCTCCCACCTGGCTCAGGGGCTTGAGTTTGAACATGCTCAGTCTCGGGGGTCTTCTTAGGCATCTAATGGTTGCCTGATTTCCTTCCAACCTCCTCTAGGGGGCCTGTGCAGGTATGGGAGGGACACCCCCCCATTGTCCATGAATCTAGCTACCTAACACTTAGACTGTCATTTGTAAATTTCTAACAAAATGTCAATAATTTGATTTAACTGGAAAAAAGTTTTCTTTGACAAAATCCAATCCTTTGTGCAATATTGTTACAAAATATCTTACTCCATTTACATTACATTTTTGTTTCATCTCCCTTTATTTCCATTCAGCTTCTCTTTTTTTTTTTTCCAGGGGAGAGCACGAATACAGTCCCCCACCACCACAAATTATGCAGTGGAGTTTCCCGCATTTGGGGAAATGCAGGGCTCAGCACACCCTCAGTGTAATGGGTGAGCCTCGCCCTGGGAAAACCACCTTCCTGATCATGGGGTCTCCCCTGCCAGGTAAGTATTCCATTCAACTTCTTTATGGCACTTAAAATTTTGGGAAGGAATTTGGCTAAATGATCAAAAGTTGGGCGCTTGTTATTAATTACCCTTCTATTCCATTTATTATTCAATAGAGGTTAGGGAAGATAATTTTAGTCACATCACATTCTTTCTATTGGGAATGAAATAAAAAACTCTAGATATCTTTGATGTTCTACAAAAGAACTCTATATTCCTAAGTGAATAAAAATTGAAAAAGTTAAAAGTCTGGACCCTGGATAGTTTATATAAATGCTTGAATACCACTTAAATAAAATTTACCATACCAAAATGAATTAAGGATAGACCTAGGCATGCTAGTTATATATCCTTAGAGTTTTATGCAGCTGTGATCAAATCAGAAAGGGAGAAAGCGTGATTTGGAGATAAATCGCATGAGTCTCATATAATTTCACATGTCATCAGTCTGTATTATTAATGAAAGATCTGATCTTGTTCTGTGGGAGCAAAGACCTGCTGCTGCTCTTTCTTCCTAATCTTATGTATGTAGTTTGATTACATTAAAATTACTGAAGGAAAAACTGAAAGATGTCTCTCAATCAAGTTGTTTATTCATTAAAATATATAGTTGACCGTCTTCCATCCCCTCCTTTCTTTCCTTCTCTCCCTCCCTTTCTTCCTTTCTCTTTTCCTATTTTGAATAATATATTCAAAAAGTCATTAATATGCCATTAACTTCAACTTCTCTATTTCTTTTACCCTTTCTCTCCCACAGTATTTGTTAAGGGCAACAGAAGGATTAAGTTGTGAAATAAAATGTCAGTCACAGGGGTTTGGGGCAGCAGCCCTGAAGTTGTCATTGGGATTGATTAACTACAGCGGCTTTGTGCAAATAAGCAAATGGAAATTAGATTTATCATTGACAGGAAAGGATACTAGAGATCTTGAAAGGTGAAAACACTCAAATTATCACGGTGAGTTTGGATTGGAATTGGAAATGATGTGAATGTAAGGTGTGAGGGACAGAAAGATCTAGAAATAAAAATATATATAGGTGCATTTATTTTTATTAGTAATTAATTTTTTTCCAAACTTAGGGGATGTCAGACAACACGCTGAAATTTGCTCTTAATCATAGAGTAGCTAAGGTACACAAAAAATCGCATGAGTCTCATATAATTTCACATGTCATCAGTCTGTATTATTAATCAAAGATCTGATCTTGTTATATATAGCATATTATTATATAGGTCAATTACATCCAGCAGAAGTGTATATTTGCTACCACAATCAGCTTCCAAACATTCTATTTCTACATGGACTCCTTGAAATCGTCTCCCTTCATTCCACCATCACTAGAGTACCCCCATCCCCTCAATCCCTTATTCTACTTGCTGTCTCTGTAGGTTCCTCAATCCTGGGTTTCATATGAAGAAAAACTTAAAAACATATGATACAACTTCAAAAGGGAGGGACTTTCAAGTTTCTTCTCCAGCACCACAATTCAAATGCATCCATTCTTCCATAGTCTTCCTTCTTCAATGTCCAACTTTCACATGCGTATGAGGCGATGGAGAATACTAAGGCCTGGCTCAGGCACATCTTGGTCGTCAAATTAACATCCTTTCTCTTCAACACTCTAAAGAGGTTTTTTTTTTGCAGCAGATTTACCTAATGATCTCTTGACTGCTGCTTCCAGGAGCACTGATTATGGATCCTAGCAAGATGAAATTCTTGACAGCTTCAACCTTTTCTCCGGTTATCATAATGTTACTTCGTGGTCCAATTGTGAGGATTTGGGGCTTCCTTCCATTGCATTGTAACCCATTCATAAGGCTGCAATCCTAGATCTTCATCAGCAAGTGCTTCAATTCCTCCCCACTTTCAGCAAGCAAGGTTTTGCCATCTGCATACAACAGGTTCTTAAAAAGTCTTTTTCCAATCCCGATGCCTCTCTTTTCTTAATATAATCCAGCTTTTCTAATGATTTGCTCAGCATAAAGATTGAACAAGAACAGTGAGAGGATTCAAGCCTGACACTCACCTTTTCTGATTTGAAACCATACAGTATTCCTTTGTTCCGTTTACACAACTGCCTCACGATCAATGTACAAGTTCCTCATAAGCACTGGAATTCCAATTTTTTTCAAAGTCATCCACCATTTATTATGGTCCACACAGTCAAATGTCTCTGTGTACTCAATCAAATACAAGTAAGCCTCTTTCTGGTATTCTCTTCTTTGAGCCAAGATCCAACTGACTTCAGTAACGACATCCCTTGTTCCAAGTCTTCTGAATTCCGCCTGAACTTCTGAAAATACCCTGTCGATACACTTCTGCAGCCATTGTTGGATGATCTTAAGCACCATTGTACTTGTGTGTGATGTCAGTGTCATAATTCTATACTTTGAGCATTCTGGTGTATCTGGCCCATCCCTAAGAAGACTGGCTCCCCACTTCAGAGGAAGAAGCCATTGAAAACCTTATGCATAATTTTGAATCTAAACTTACATATGAACAATGTGTGGTTTCTTCCATAGTCAAGCCCTGGTCTGGATTTCGCTACCAATATTTGGCTACTCCATTGTGTCTTCTTACAGAAATAGTCTATTTGTTTTCTGTGTATTTCATCTAGATAAGTTCATGTGGATCGTTGCAGTTTGTCTTGTTGGAAAGGGGTATTTAATATGAATATGTCTTGCAAAATTTTATCATGTGATCTCACGCTTCATTTCTATTACCAGAATTGTATTATCAAACCACTGTTCCTTTCTTTTTGTTTTCAACTTATTCATTCCAATCATCAACAAGTATCAATGCATACTGATTGCATTTTATCAATATCTGATGAAAGATATTGGTAGAATTCTTTAATATCTTCATCACCAGCTTTTGTGGTTGGTTTATAAATTTGAATAATAACTCCACTGCTTTGAGTTCCTTGAAGGCAAGTAGATAGACTCCTATCTCAGACAGCATTGAACTTCAAAATGAAACTTGAAATGTCCTTTTTGATTATGATTGAAACATGGTGCAAGGGATATCATTGCTGATGACAGATGGATCTTGGGTGGAAGCAGAGAATACCAGAAAGATGTTTACTTGTGTTTTATTGACTAGACAAAATAATTCAACTCTATTGACCATAACAAACTATGGCTAACCTTGAAAAAAATGAGAATTCCTGAAGACTACATTGGGGTCATGTGGAACATCTACATGGATCAAGAGACAGTGTGGGATGAAGGAAGAGAATGCTGCATGGTCTGAGATCAGGAAAGGTGTGCATCAGGTTTGTATCTTCTCACAATACTTATAAAATCTGTATGCTGAGAAAATCATCAGAAATCTAGACTCTATGAAGAAAAATGCAGTATCGGAATTGGAGAAATATTTCTCAACAACCTTCAATCTGCAGATCACAACATACCTTCTTAAAAGTGAGGACAGGTGCTGGTGAAAACTAAGGGTACCAACCTTCAGTTTGGATTACAACTCAGTGTTGAGAAACTCAAGATCCTCACAACTGGACCAATAGGTCATATCATTATAAAGGGAGTAAAGGTTGAAGCTGTCAAGGATTTTATCTTGCTGGAATCCACAATTCATGCTCAGGGAAGCAGCAGTTAAGAGATCAAAGTACGAGTTTCCGTGGGTAAACCTGCCGTGTCAGACCTCTTTAAAGTGTTCAAAACAAAGATGTCGCTCAGTGTAAGACATGACAAAATAATAATTTATAAATTATCAAGGGTTCCTGAGGAGCTGCCGCCAGGGGCTCAAGTGAAGAGCAAATAGTTTGAGAGTGTTGAGGGCAGTGAAGGTACAAAAGTGCTTTACACAATTGGTGTATGTATGGATTGTGATAAGAGTTGTATGAGCCCCCAACAAAATGATTTTTTTTTAAAGAGCCATCACTTGGGGAGGGGGGATGTAGAAATGTGCTTGACACAACGGACGCATGTATGTATTGTGATAAGAGCTGTATGAGGCCCCAATAAAATGATTTAAAAAATAAATAAATAAAGTGTTGAAAACCAAGAATGTTACTTTGAAAACTAAGATTTCAAACCTGAGCCAAGCCATGGTATTTCCAATCACCTCATATTCGGGTGGAAGTTAACCGTGAATAAGAAAAAGAATCAATGCATTTGAGTTGTAGTGCTATGTGCTAACAAAGACCCTTGAAAGTACCATGGACTGACCAAAGAATAAGCAAATCTCTTTCTCAATGCTCAGCGTGCTCCTTAGCGGCATGGATGGCAAGACTTGTGTCATATACTTTGGACGTGTTGTTAAGAGAGACTAGTCCCTAAACAGGAACTTCCTGCTTGATAAAGTAGAGGGGCAGTGAAAAGGAACAAGACCCTCCACAAGATGGACCCACACGGTGACCACAACAAAGAGCTCACACAATAACAATTGTGAGGATCACACAGAGCTGGACAGTGTTTTGTTTTGTTGTCAATAGACTTGCTGAGAGGGCACCTACCAATAACAATATATGTGTGCACACCTGATAGATTATGGTTATGATCTTCTTTTCTTTGCAGAGAAAACTGTTGAGTTTATAGAAACTGTGGAAAATGGAGCCTTGAGTGGAAGCATGGCCAAGTAGTGAAAACATGTTAAATGCTTACAATCAGCAGGTATGCTGGGAGTGGCACTGTGCCTGCACACAATCTTTCTTTCTCTCGCTGGGTATATGTTATACATTCCCAGCCTTGATGTTAATTACAAATGCGATTCCATTGGAGCACATTGTTATGCACTTAGATTTTTCTCAGAAATGAGGAATTCAAGTAGAGTAAGCTACACTTTGTGAATATACAATTGAATACAACCAATTTGGTATTGACAGCTAAACAAACCCTTCATTCATGGCTATTTTTCACCTATGCATCTTCCAGAGATGAGCTGGCCTCATCTCCACTCCCTTTATCTCTTCACCTTGAAAAAAGGAATAAAGCGTGGAGATGGCTATGTCATCACTATTGTGTGTAAATATTTTGCTATATAATATACA